TGGACGGTTTAGGGTATCTGGTATGTGCCTCTGGTGTTCCACCCTCTCACTGAGGACCAATAATCTGGGTGAGTGCCACTTAGCACTAACATGGCTGTGAGGCTCTGTGGGTAGGCAATACTCTTCTCGCTCAGAACTGCACCCCTGAGGTCACCGAGAAAGCAGATGGATCAACCGCTGCTACCCCAGCACTGCTGCCCCTCCAGCCACCGAAGATCCACGACCACGCTCCAACAGCAGGAGGTAGGCAAAGGGCAGAGCTTCTGCAGCCATCGGGGAGCAGGGGTGAGACCCCTCCATCAGTCAGAGCCCGAACTCCGCACCGCCTGGGCCAGCGCAGCCAGGCTCTGGGGCATCGGGCTGACCTTGCTCTGCAGGTGGTCTCTGGCTGAGCCGTGTCCTGCACAAGTCGTTTGCAAAGCAGCACACGTAAGAAGCTACACACAGCTATTCTGCTGAGAATGGAAATTGAATCCAAAAGTTCTGATAGCAAATCTACGCTCCCATCTCTGCCTCATCTACTCTTAAGCTTACCACCAACGGTGGAAGTGCAGCGCTCGGCCAAAGCCTGAAGGCACAGCAGCACATGTCGTACAGATGGTGGTATCGGAGCCTTCATCACCCACTGACATCCTCCAGGCTCTGCTTGCTCTTTTCAGCATATGTTAAAGCACGTGTTCTGGCTACTGGGTAACCTGTAACCAGATAAGTAGGTAGTAAAAGGGGCAAAATCCATTTTTCTTTCCACATGCCAGTTCCGGGGTGCAGCTCCACAAACAAGCACCTACTGTTGTGGGTGAGGCAGGGCAGAGCATGCGTGTTCCCACAGGAGCAGCGTGGCGGCTCTCGGCCACGGGTGCTGCCCCTCACCGCAGGCACCGGGCCCCCACCAGCTGCACTCAGGCCTCTGCTCACCCTGTGGAGCTTGCCTCTACCCAGCAGCATCCTGGGTGCCTCCAGGCTCCTCTGAAAGGTGTGAGGGAGCACCAGGGCATCAGCCCAGGGTGTCCAGGCTCGCTCCAGTGTGAGGGGTGGGGCAGGTCCACTTGTCCTTCCCGAGGGCTGGAAGGGGAACAGAGAACCCTCTTCCCAAGAAGAGAGATGAAGGAACGTCACTAATGAGGAAGACACATGAGGATGGATTTACATGGGCAAATGCTAGTGTGCAGGCCCCGGCAAGTCCCTCCTGTGAGGACGCATCAGGAGCGGGGCAGTGAGGTGGAAGAGCACTCCCACAGAGCCACGGTGCTGCCCAGCACGGGGCCGCAGCCAGCGCCGCTGGGGACGCAGCCCCACCTGGGGCACAAAGCTGGGACTGGGCCTTGAGGAGATCAGGTGTGATCCTGCTCACAGCAGGATGTGAGCACAGATCCGAGACTCAAGTGCAGTCACTAGAAAGGATGATCAGCCTGGGAAGTGGCACACTGACACCAGGCGAGCACTAGAGGAGACCGTGGTGGGGCTCTGAAGAAGGCAGACCTGGGATTCGTGGTATGAGCGAGGAGAGATTTAGGAAATGAGCAAGGCTGGCATGAACCTCGGGAGGCCGATGAAAGCCCACCTTCCCATTCTAAGACAGGGGAACCTACAAGTGCCCTGTCTTTTGGTTTTGGTCCTTAAAGATCTTCTGTGATGCAGAATCCTCAGGCCCCTGTGGCAGTCTGTTCATGTGCTTTGTTCTCGTCCCCATTAGAAAACTGTTTCTAACATGAATCTTTCTTGAAGCAGGCTGTGCCCACTGGTTCTTGTGGTGCCTTCATGGACATGCAGTACAGATGGCTTTGTTCCTCTTTCCAGGAGTTCCTTACATACAACTAGTGGTGTGATTTTCCTCAGTCATGCAGGAGAAAAACACCCCAACAAAACAGCCAGATTAGAGACCACAAAAGAAAACCTGTCTGGTGGAACTCACTGCCACACCAAAAGACAGCAGCTATGAGCACCCTGTGAGACCAGATAAAGTAATGAGGCCTTTATCAAGATAACAGCTTCCAGAGTCAAAAGAGCTTTGTGGAGAGAAACACCCTGCTCCAATAGATCTAGATCTTGTTGTGGTAGCCACCAAATTGTCCTCTTTATTTCCTTTCCCTGGAGGAGGTCCAGCCTCCAGCTGAAGGGACTGACCGTGGAGACCATGTGGTCATGTGAGGGGCCGGATGGTGAGATGTGCCTGGTGGCCGAGTGGCAGAAGGAGCCAGTCCCTGGGGTCACTGTGGAAATCCACTCTCTCCTCGCCCCAACACATGACATTGCCTTTCTGCCCCTGCAGCCTCCTGCCACGGCTCCGCCGGCAGCTCGCGGGGGGGCCACGTGCCTTTGCAGGGCTCCAGGACCTGATGCTCGGCCCGAGACGCCAGCAGGGTCCTGGCGTGGGGACACAGTGGTGCTTTCTCTGCACAGGCCTGGTGCAGAGGAGCCCTTCTGTCATGAGCGGGAAGCACAGTCCTCCCCTCCCAGCTCCCTTCTCCAAAGGAACGAGCACGGTGTTCTTCAGAGCTCCTGCTACGATGATTTATCCAGGTCACAGTGAGGACAGCTGGCTAACTGAGGTTAACAGCTTTCTCGGTTTCATTTCAAAAAGACATTAGCATGGGGGCTGTATTAAACAATGATATGCCAAATTCTGATTCATTTGCTAGGAGAGCTCACAATCGGGTGGGGGACTCAGCTGACAGGCAGGGCCGTGCTGCTAGCCTTTCCTTAAAGGGCAGGACCATAACTCACGCTCCCAGTGCTAAATTACACCTGACACTCCTTGCAGAGGGCTTCTGGTGTGTGCAGCCTGCTACAGGCGTCCTGGGACTGCCAGCTGTGGGAGCCCAAAGCCCCCAGACCAGGAGGTCTATCAGCAACCGTGTCTGGCTCAAAAAACACAAAAAAAGGTTGGGGCCTTTCTGTCTGGAAGAAGGATGATGGAAAGGAAACACGACAATGGTCTCTAAATCCAGAAGCGTCACAGGGAAGGTGACTAAGGAATGACTGTTCATGGGCTCCTCCAATGAAACAATAGGAACTGTCAGGGGACAGGTTCAAAATAAACAAAAGGAGGCAGCTCTGCCTCCCACACATGGTTAAGCAGTGGAACTTGCTGCTACAAGACACTGTAGAAGACAGATAATATCTGAGTTACAAAAACAGTTTGACAAGTTATGGATGAAAATTCCTCAAGGGCTCTTAAACACAAGAACTCCCTCCTGGGCTCAGGAAGCCCCTTCCCCACAGAAGGTGGGCGAGCACCTTGGGGCAACAGCACAAGTGTCCCCTGTTGTCCCCAGGGGGAGAGGGCTCTTTCCCAGGCACGGGCGTAAGCTGCTGCCAAACACAGAGCTAGGTGCAACACTGCTCTGACCCAGGATACTGTTATATTTTTATGTAACAGGGCTGGATGGTCAGTACTTTAACTGGGAGTTTTGTAGGAGAAAGCTTAGAGCTGCGCTGTGTTATCTGCCCCTTTCCCACCAAACCCAAGGAGCTCGGCTCAGCTGACCTTGGTATCAGTGGAGGGTGAGGATGGGATGGGAGTGAGACAGTAACTGTGCGAAGGAGCAGACTCGCGGTTCCCGCCCTGCTGTGCTGTCCTTGCACAAGACAGCACACGGTCCTGCCGCAGGTATGCAGAACAGAGCATAGGCACGGCCGACACACTCGTCGGTCGTTTGTCCTCCCCCTCCACACACACAACACCCACAAACTTCCCGGACTGGCCTTCGCCACTGAGCAACCGCAGCGCGGGCGGCTCAGTCCCGCACTATGTTGTCTCCACACACAGAGAACAATGGGGGACTTGGCAGTGAACGGAGCAGTATCTCATTTTCCTTCGTATCACATGAATCATATTCATATATGATGCACTACAGATATTGTTCATATTCATAATCACCAAATTAAGCGAAGCAATATGTTTCCACTTTGAATAATAATGGGATAGCTAGCCCCCCATCCCAATTTTTAAATGCTGCCCTCTGAGCTGCTGCTCAGACAAACGAGCTCTGCTGGGCTCACCCTGCTGTCCGGCACGCTGGTACCCCTACTCCAGTATCGAGAGAACCTGGTTTAGTCTTCCAGAACACTGAGAATATTTAACTACCAAGTTGTTAAAATAGACATAATTTTTCTGGCTTACGGGGTGCTGAAAGAGATTAGAGGTGGGTACCACGGAGGACAGACGCAGTTAAGCAAGTCCTGCAGTTGTGCAGCAGCAGCAGCTGCACAGCTTCTCGGGATCAGCTCTTGCCTCTCTGCCCTCTGGACCTGAATACAGCTCCTGGCCAAAATCCGCTCACGACTGAGGGTGCCCACGCGGCCAGCAGTGGGGATGGGGGCCAGGACGCTCTCCCAAGCCGGATTCAGGAGCAGAAGAAATACACGGTCTGAGCAAAGGGTCCGGCCCCCAGCACCTTCCGAGACAGAGGGGCCGGAGGAGTGGAGCTGTGGCGGGGCAGGGGCAGGCGGCCGGTACAGAGAGGAGAGGCAGGACGCTGCCCAGCAGGCCTCCCCGCAGCTCCGCAGGGCCACGGGGGCACTCCCGCCCTCATTGTCTGCGTGTCCCGGAGCAAACCCAGGATTTCCTCCACAGCAGCACAGCAGAACAGATCAGAAGGAGCCTCCTCTCCTGGCTCGCCACACGTCACCGTTCCCACCAGCCCGGGCAGCGCTGTCCCGGGAGGCACCGTCCCTCCGGCCGCCCTGGCCCCTTCTCTGGGAGCAGGTCAGCAGCGGGGAGCAACGCCCAGCCCATCTGTGCCCTAGAGCAGCCACACCCTTGCAGCGAGAGCAAACCCAGCACCCATTTACAGCCAGCGGAGCCGTAGCTGTCTCCCCGGATCCCTGGACCTTCCCCTCCTCACTGGGAGTTGACAGACTCCACTTTCACATCTTTAGCCCTTCCTTATGCTGCCATGTAAACGAGAACAGTAGATAATCCCTACTGGTGTGAAAGCATTAAATAACGCTCCCTTCCCAGCCTGGGCTGCCAAGCTAGAGCGGGCATCTCCTCCTACCTGCTTCTGAGCTTTCTCCTGCAGCTGGCAGCTGGCCCCCAGGTCCTGGCTGAGCTGCTGGATCCGCCTGCATTTCTGCTCCAGTTCTGCCTGCCTCTCCCTCTGCTTGGTCTGCAGTTGATAGATCCTCTGCTCTTGAGCATCCAGCTATTGACCCGCCCAGGGAAAGAAAGAAAAAATGGAAAAAAAAATCAATTAATACTAAACGGCTTAACAAAACCCCGAACAGCACAGGCCTGATGCTGCTGGGGGTGGGGATTGTCGGGAGGAGACACCCCCCCGCACACATTAGCTGCAAAAACCTGATGTTCTGGGGACAGGAAGCCAATATGGTAGGTGTGAGCTGACGTGCGCCCGCAGCAGCAGCGATCCGTCCAACTCGGGGAAGGCAGAGACTCTGCCGCGCTGGGGTACCTGCCTCCTCTGCTCACCAAGGGGGTGACAGACAGGCTGGGTGAGGGAAGTAAAGAGCAGCTGAGCAAACCCAAAGTTATTGTAACTAATAACTAAATAACCAGATCTGATTCGGCTGTGTGCTGGGACCCCTTCAGGCATTTCCCCCGCGCCTTCTGTCCCCGGTGTGACGGGGAAGGGGAGCTCCCTGCCCTGCAGCTTGTGCTTCACCCCCTTGTCCTGCCTGAGCAGGAGTGGGCTTTGAGGGCCCAGAGCTCTCACTTCTTGGTGTCCCAGCTGCAAGGAGTTTACAGAGGGAGGGAGCAGGAAAGGATCATGAATGTCAACCAAGGAGCAATTAGCATGACAAGACTGAGGTATCGATCTGCAGGAGCCCCAGCCACTGCCCCCCTGCCCCCCGCCGTGCCTTTGTGACTAGCAGCTGAGGGACGCTGCTCGCCTTCCTCTGACGGGAGAGGAGCCACAGCCAGTGGGTGCAAAGGTGTGGGGCAAGGGCAAAGGCTCTGCATGGCTCCTGCCCTCCTCGTGACAGGGAGGCAAGAGGGAATGCTGGTCAGCAGCTGGCCAGGGGCTGTGCGATGCCTCGCCATGAGCACAGGCCTTACGTGCAGTGAAGTGACACAGCGGGTGGGAACAGCACGCTGCTGGCACGGCTCGGGAGCGGCTGGAGGCAGCCCCGTTTCACGGGGAAAGGGGCTCTCCAGGGCTTCCCAATAACACTGAAGGGGAGACGGGCAGCGCACAGACACTACAGACATCTCGATGGATGAGAGCAGGGCCTGTGCCGCTGCACAGAGGTGCGGGGATAAGACAGAACATATAGAGAACAGATTTCTAGAAGAGATCTAGTGTATTCTTCTCCCCTGTCAATAGGTCCCATGTAGGTGATACATCTCTTACTAGAAATGGGAAGAGCAGAGGCCCTGAGGGCCCACAGGCATGAACTGCCCAAGGGTCGTGCCCACACCCCAGACCCGCTGCCCTGCCCTGTCCCTCTCCTCACCCCCACAAGCAGCCCCGCTGCGGGGCACTGACACGGCTCCCTGCTCTTGAAGGACCTGCTGGGCCCAACGCGGGGCAGGGAGGCACATCCCACCACCAGCTGCCCTCGGGCAGCGCTGTGCTGCCTGCGCAGGGTCCTCCCGGGAGGGACATCTCCAGAGACCGCTCCCTCCCGGGGAGGTGTCTGTCTGTCCGGCTGGCAGGGCCCCCAGCCCCCTGCGCCTGGCGGAGCTGCCGAGCACGGCTGAGCCCTGTCAGCATCACTGCGGACGTCCTGCAACACAGCAGCAACTGAGGGGCCTAATTAATGTTCACTGTCTTACTAAACCTAGAGAGAATTTCGATATTAATTAAATGCTAACTGATTAGTAAAACATATTTACTGAAGACTGTCACCCAGCTGTCAACATTCAATAAATACATTAATAATCAATTTGCATGTAATTAACATAAAATGACATTAATGTCTACATTAAAGATGTATTGGAGACATTGTTATGAGCACAGTGGCCTGTCTTCCTCCAAGCCGTATTCTGTATGCACGGAACACACTCAAACCCGCAGTGAGAAAGGTTATCGCTGTCCAGCAAAACACCCACCAAAAGAAAAAAAAGAAAATGTTTAAATTCTGAGGGGATGTGAGCGCATGCACGTGTGCTCACTCACCCGCCTGTACATCCCCAGCAGGGCCCACGTGTGCCAAGCGCCGGCTCCAGCAGCGGCACTGCAGGCTCTGAGGAACCCAGGACGTGCCCAGCGTGGGGCAGGCAGCCACCGTCCTCTGGGTCGCTCTCGCTGCTGGCAGCAACTGCCCGCGCCCATCACACCACCCGCGCCCCTCGCACTGCCCGCGCCCCTCGCACCGCCCGCGCCCCTCGCACCGCCCGCGCCCCTCGCACCGCCCGCGCCCCTCACATCGCCTGCGCCCCTCGCACTGCCCGTACCCCTCACACCCATCGCACCGCCCGTACCCATCGCACTGCCCGTGCCCCTCACACCACCGGACCAGGTATAGAGATGCTCTGCAGATCCCCAGCTTTGCCCTGGCACAAGCGTTCCTGAGCCTTCCCAGGCCAGGAAGAATCCCCGGCACTCTGGTGTGGTGGTTCCTTCCCGTATTTGCCAGAGAACAGAACAAGCGCCAGGGCACGAAGGACTTTTCATGCCCCACTGTGTTCAGCCTGGCACTTTCTTCCCCCTCCCTCTCGGCAGTGCAGGGCTCTGAGCAGCCTGGAGCAGAGCTGTGGCCTGAGATGCCACCTCCCTCTCGCAGCCCTGGGACTGCCCGTGGAGGCTGGATGAAGAGCTGGGGAAATCCCTGGCAGCAGGGAAAAGTGGCAAAGCCAGACCTTGGCTGTGGCTGGAGTCAGGGGCACAGACCAGCTGGTGCCAGGCAGAGGAGATGGAGAACAAAGAGGTGAAGCAGCACAGCATCCAGGGGGTGCGAGTTCTCCCTCGCTGAGAGGCCAAGGGACAGCAACATAAAATCCACTCAAGGGCTTGTCCCCGCACAGCTGGGCCCAGGACCCCCTGGCACCGCCAGCGCGTTGGCCCAGGACACAGCGAACCCCAGAGGGACCCGGCGATCAGCGGGAGTGGCACAGGCTGGCGCAGGGGGCTGACAGGCACACAGCACCCTCAGACAGGAGCACAGCACTCTCCCTTCCTGCAGCCCCAGCACCCACCAGTGGCACAGGGGAGCAGTGGAGCCCCCTGGCAGGGGCTGCACCTCAGGTTGCTGGGCCCCCGCTCAGATGGCAGGGAGATGGGGGGGGGTGCGGGACAGAGGACGGGCATCATCCGGCAGCACCAGGCTGGATAGCTTCTGCAGCCTGGGGCTCACAGAGCTTCATCCACAGGGATAACCTGGGATGGGTGAGAGACGGGGGGAGCTGATGTGTCTGTCCTCTGCATGCAGGATAAACACTCCTTCCCGCAGGTGAGTGTGGTTTGGAGGCAGAATAATTCCAGGATCCTCAATGCAGTGAGGCTCCCTACCAGCTCCCCAGCAACAGAAACGCCTGTGACCACGGGGATGTCATACAGCTTCGTGGAGCAGCGTCTACCTTTGGGTCGGGGTGAACTGGGAGGACGTCTCTGGCTCAAAGCAGAGCTGCCTGTCTGGGCTCAGCGTTCGGAGACAAGCCCACCTTATCCCCACACAGACCCACGAAGCGATTTGCTTGCAGCAGGAAAGAAGGTGGCATGTTTAGGGTGAACATCCCCCACCCCCACCCCTTCTCCTCTCATTTAAGTGGAATCAATTGTGCCATTTCTGCTTTGCTTTTCAAAAGCAATTACTTTCATGTCATTTCTACAGACATTCACGGAGAGCGAGAGAGTGAGGGCTTGATTATCCCCCCTCCCATCCCCATCCTGTGGCTTCCGCAGTGTCGGTGAAGTATTAAATTAAATGAGGTGTCTATGGAGCGGCGATGGTTTCAGGTCAGAGGCGCTATGGAAAGCTGTATGCTGCACTGCTCCTGTATATGTAAATGGATATATTAAAACCACTGATGTCAACTTGCAGCACTCATCTCCTCTGCTCTCGGGTGATCAAAGCTGATTGCAGAGGCAATTACTGCAAAGGAAAAGAAAATCACGGCCTCCTGCTCATCCCTGAGCTACCGGAGTTTAATTGCTTAGTGTAGCTGAAGCTGCCTCTCCATCTCCCTGGTGTACACACACACACACGGGAGCAGCACACGCCATGAAACACAGACAGGAGCGGACGTTTTTGGGGATGGGCAGTGAGAAGCACCCCAAGCAGGGGGAGACCACAACATGAAAAATAATGATGCTTAAAAATGAATTAAACCACTACAGCAGGCAGGGCTGTGTCTTAGCAAGCCACTGGATCAATAACACAGGGAGAAAATTAGGGCAGCATAATACATGGCTGTAAGACAGCCTCTCTCGTTCTCTCCTCTTTGGTCCTGGAGTCACAGTAAGACTTATTCAGGCTTTTACCAGCTGTAGCTAATCAGGCTCCCAAATCCTTGTGATGTAGGTGAGAATTGTGACCCCTGTTTTACAGCTGAAACAACTTCAAAGAAAGGTATTGGTGCCTGCCCTGAGAAGTCCCGACTGCCCGCCCTGTTCTTGCCTTTGTATTTCACATGCACTTCTGCATGAGCACAGCAAAGGCGGGGGACGTTGCAACATAAGCACGGCGCTCACCAGCTCCGCCAGCACGGTTTCAGGAGCCAGCCCGAGCTGTCCAGCTGCGTTGCTGGTGGTGCTGGGCAGACCAGCTGGGGGGTATGACTTCACCTGCAGGTCATTCAAATGGTTTCTCAGCAAGCCAGTGCCCCCACCTACGCCATCCCGCCTGCCTTCCTGCTCCCGTTTCTCCCCAAGGCTGCCCACCAGCATCTGCTCACATGCTGGTCCTGTGCCGGCGCCCAGTTCCCCTGTGCGGGCACGCTGTGCTGGGATGTGCTGGCCAACACGGCGTGCTGGCTGACACGGGGTATTGGCCAACGCAGCGTCCTGGCCGCATGCATGTGCTCTCTGCTTGCACATCCTCATGTGGCCTGAAGCAGAGCTGCGCAACACGTCAGACATAAGACCCATCACTAAGGTGTTGTTATAAGGGGGCAAGGAGGTCAATAAAGAAAATGGGGGGATGACAGACAAAAGATTTATGTTTCCACGTAAGGCAGGAACACATTTTTGGAAGGAATACCTTCTGAGGAGTGTCAGCCAGCCCCTTCACCCTGTGCCTAAGCCCGCGGGTGTGGGACCTGAGCAGTGTGAACAGGTCCTGCCCGAGCACCTGGTGCCTGCTCTGGGATTACGCACCAGCTGGCTGCCTGCAATCCCCCACTACTGCTAGAAATGCTGGTGCAGACCAGTGCCTGACACTGTACTCTTATCTAATGGGACTCAAAGCAGGCCTAGAGATTGTGCAGGTAAACACCCAGCACCCCATCAGCTGCCTTACACCTGAGATGGGCGAGGCAAGGCCAGCAAAGGCCTGAGTCACGTCGCCGTTCACAGGTCATGCACATGTGAGGGCATTCTGGGCTGTGATCGCACACAAATCTTGCCCACATCCGTGCCCACACCAGGAATGGGAGAGGATTAGGGCATGTCAGTAAGATCATGTTAGGAAACACAGGTTAGAACTCTGCCTCGTACTGGAATAGGTGCTGAGAGCTGTGCTGCTGCTCTGTGAGCATTTCCAGAAGTGCTGTGCTGGCCACGAGGAGGTTTTCCGCCCAGCTAAACTGGATTGAATCGCTGCAGCACCTGGTCGAACAGTAAGACAGCACCTTAGGAGAAGCCTTGCTCTCCGCTCGGCCAGCAAGACGCTCGCTGGAGGACAAGAGGAGCTCTGGGAGCTCTGGGGAGCCTGGCAGGCTGCTTGCCGGGAACAAGCTGCGTGTGTGGGATGGAAAGCTACTGTCTTTTCTGCAGGAGAGGAGACCCAGCTGGAAGGAGCACAGGTGAGACGCAGCCCCTCTGCCCAGGCCCTTCCCTCCTGCAGAGGCCTTGGCAGGTGCAAGGGCCGCGTCTTGGAGTGGGACCCGCTGCCCTGGAGAGGCCTGAGCGCAGGGCCTGGCCCCCGTGGGCTGGAAGCGCCTGGGAAACGGCAGCGGGGAGCGGTGCTGCAGCAAAGCAGCACCAGTGCCCGAGGGGTGTCCTGAGAGGAGGTCACAGGCAGCCTTGGGGCACCCCATGCTTCTCTGGGAACTAATAAGCCACTGGAAGCACCTCTGTGGAAGTGGTGGCACCACACTCACACAGGGCAACAGGGACCCCAAGAATTTATTTTCTACTGTGATCTAATTCTCTCCAGTGGCTGCTGGCCTCCTTTCAGGCTCGGCCGGGCTGAGTGGCTCTCTGGAAGCTGTCCTCACCTGACGCCGGTGCGATGCATGACAGACCTGGAGAAAAACAACTGCTGCAATGCATGGCCAGAACAAGAACCAGCAGCAATTCCCTCTCAAAGGCAGATGAACAGAAATACCTAATGATGAGGAGATTTCTGCCATCCCATGACTGCATCTGGGAACCACGAGTCAGGACCCCGAAGAGCAAGCGTTTACAAAACTCTAAGTGCTAAGTTACTTTTTCTTCTGAATTTTTGACCCTTGAGGGTTTTACTTTTGCACTTTTCTCCTGAAGCACTGGAAAGTGAAGTAGAATTTTTTTTTAAACTGCAAACAAAGCCTAGGACTCTGTTCTTCCTGCTTGATTCTACAACTGGAACTTCAAAAAACCCACAGAAAATCATGAAACCTAGAAGTAAACCCTGTGATCTGCTCAGGCAGCAGGAGCACCGGGAGCCTTGGGCAGCGCCTGCCCAGGGCCCTCCCTGCCCGCCAGGTGGGCCCTGCCACGCGTCCTCCTCCCTTCCTTGTGAATCTGTATTTTCAGCCCAAGGATGCAATTCTTTTTTTTTATGAGCCGCCTGTCTCTTTTTGTTTAGCCGAGAGTGCTCAGAGCCCTTCCCCCACCCCCTTTTCCACTGCTGCTGCTGGTTTTATTCAATTCAACACTTGAGGGAACTGCAGATGAAATGTCTCTGAATCTAAATTGTCAGCGATAGATCTAACAGCCTTTTTCCCTCTCCCCCTCCCCAAACTCCCCTCAGACAGAATGCTCGAGTACATTGTCTCTGCCTCACTCAGCTTCAGCTGCAGAATACTAGCACCAGGACTGGAACGCAGCAGCGGGAGCACAAAGCTCACACAACCCTCTCTGGCACCAGCGCGCAGACAGGAGGGCACAGGCAGGAGGGTGAAGGCAGGAGAGTGCAGGCAGGAGGGCGCAGGCAGGAGGGCACAGGCAGGAGGGTGAAGGCAGGAGGGGGCAGGCAGGGGAGTGCAGGCAGGAGGGCGCAGGCAGGAGGGTGAGGGCAGGAGGGGGCAGGCGGGAGGGGGAAGGCAGGAGGGCGCAGGCAGGAGGGTGCAGACAGGAGAGTGCAGGCAGGAGGGCACAGGCAGGAGGGTGCAGGCAGGAGGGCGCAGGCAGGAGGGCGCAGGCAGGAGGGTGAAGGCAGGAGCATGCTGCCTGCCCCAGGAGGGGTAGTGCCAGCACTGAGGAGGCCGATCGCTGCCCAAAAGCAGCCCCAGTCCTACGTCCCTGCAGAGGTACGTCCCGCACTGCGCGATGCCACCCATGCAGGGCACCACTGCCCACACGTTGTGCAGAGCTTGGTCTCGCTCTGCCGGGTCTCTGCGCACAGGCGGTGCCGAGCTGAGCCCGGGCAGCTGCGGCCCATCCCAGCGCCCTGCACAGAGCCGTGTCTGGGGGCAGCTGCCTGCACCACTCGTGCCTTGCTGAGGGGGCAGAACGACACGCTCCGGGCATGCCCAGGGCCTGCAGCATGTGGGCATGTCCTCAGAGCAGGGTGCAGGGCAGAGGAGAGCTTTCCCTGCACACCTGCAGCCTCCAGAGGCATTGCTGACAGCCACGGCATCGCCTTCAGGCCCGAGGGAATCACAGGATCACTGAATCGTTTGGGTTGAAAAGACCTTTAAAATCAGTAAGTCCAACCGTTAACCCAACACTGCCAAGCCCACCACTAAACCATGTCCCTAAGCACCACGTCTACAGTCCTTGAGGCCCTTTTCCCTGGTTCTGTCACTGTTACTTGGCAAGAAATGCTACATGATGGTGCCTATGCCCCCCTGCTGCCCGCCCCCCCCAGGCCTCATCCACAGTCTCTGCAGTAATGAGCACGGCACGTGGGGTGGTGGAAACGGCGTCAAGTTCTTTGCTCAGGGAGATCTGCACAACCCCCTGTTTCCATTTGAATGGCCTTTCATTTTGTCCAGTTCAGTGTTTGGTGATTGTTCATGCTGTCTGGAGAAGCTTTGATTAAATCTCCTAATTTTCAACTAAGCTTTTTCTTTCCATAGGGCAAACCCTTGACCTTAGAGCATAGAAAAGTGGTCAAAAGGAAAAATAACAAGGCAAAGAGGAAGGAGGGGTAAAAGCTGTGAGACACAGCGGAATTGGAAGCTTGAAGGAGTCACTACACGTGGGAAGAGCCTCCTGCTAAGCAGCTCCCTCCGCAGAGCTTGGGCTCACGTGGGAGCCGTGGCTCCCACTGTGCCCGGGACACTTGCCATGTGGCTCCACCACGCCAGGGGTCCACGATGCCCCTGAACTGCTCCTCCGCAGCGGGGGGGAGAGCGGCCAGCGGTGCCTCCCGCCTGTGCAGGGACACAGAGGTGCCCAGGTCTTCCATGGCTGTGTGCTACAGGCGGGGGCTGTGGGGCTCACACCGGCCGCAAGGGAGGGGGCACGCAGGATGTTTCATCACGTCAAACTGTGCCAAGAGGACAGGGAGGGCAGCAACAACCAGCGAGAGCAGCGAAAACCGGCGAGAGCAGCAGCCCTTTTCTTTGAGGCAAGCACAGCCATGGGTACTGTGCCAGCCAAGGTTTGGCAGGCTCCCTTCTCGTCTTCATGACATCCACAGGGGATATCTGACCTGTTCCCCAAGACCTGAAACTGGGCTGGGTACAGAACTACAGTCATACAGACACACGGATAAATGCCATCACCTTCAGTGCTGGGGAAATTAAATGCTTTTTGCCCTTTGGCTGAGGAGAAAAATATTAAAATGTAGGCAGAATTTTATTGAAATGCTAAATATTTTTTCTGACTGTAGAGACAGAAACATTAACTGTATGAGCTATGAAATACTTCACTAATCTCAAAAGCATGGTAATCCTGAAACCTAAAGACAATAGCTTAAAAATGTCTATTTTGCAATTTCAATATTATTTTAAGAAAAAGACTAGTTGGTGTGTTTATTCCACAACTGTAAAACGACATCCATTTCCACTCAGATATTAAAAAACTCAACTGACTTCTATCCTGCTCCCCAAGTCCTTCAGTCCTATCTGAAATTCATCCGTAATGCACAGATGGTCAGTATAAAAATCTCCCTCATAATGAAAGCATATGTTGAGAACAAAAGCAAATAAATAAGGATATAAAAATAAACATACCAAGAGGCATCATGCTGACTGCATTATAGATTTTCCTATTTAATTAAAAGAAAATCTGCCTTTGGGTATCTGTCATGAGAACAGAGCCCTGCTGTGGAACCCGTGGCCTGTCCCAGGTCTGGAGCAGAGCAGATGGATCTGGGACTGGCTGAGCGGTCCCGGCGCCGGCCGAGGAGGGGCAGCGGGGCTGGGCAGTGGCCGCATGGCACCGGGGCTCTGTGAGTGGCATGTGCCGCAGCGGGCCCCGGGCGGGAGCTGTGTCCCGGACACTGGTGGCGAGGTGCAGGAGCCAGCGGGGGGACCGCACAGCCCCGCACTGCTCTCCCGGATGGGGAAACCGAGGCCCAGAAAGGTCTGAGAGACCCAGGTGACACCACACTGGGACACGGCATGGCTCGTACAGCGGCTGGCTCCTGTCCCGCAGGGATGTGTGACAGGCATCATCCTGTCACCAAGCCCCTTGTTCCACCCCCCAGTAACCCTGTGCCTGAAACATTCTTCTCCTGGACAGGCTTGGGAGAGGGAAAGAGCCAACAAAAGCGTGAACACTGTTGGGAC